CATGTTTAAACAGGTGTAATAAATATGTAGCAGTTCTTTGAGCATGGTTAACATAACCATTATTCAGTATCATATCAATTTAAACATGTTTTTGGTATTCCCCTTCCTTAATATACTTTAATCGGAGGTCAGTATAAACAGACTGCAAATATATGGAGCTCATCCTCTGTCAAACATAAAGTTTTCTGCAAACAGTATAAACAATATATCGGGTGGAATGAAATACCATTAAATCTACTAAATTCTATCATTAATTAAAAATTACCCAATCTAAATTTTGCAAAATACATTTAAAGTTCAATTTTGGATATCACAATTCAGGTAACTTTCATCATCTAAAACATTTTTGAAATGACAATAATATCTTTTACAAGTGGACATCTCGTTTAACTCAAAAGACCAAATTTGTTGTGCTATATATCTTAAGTTTTGTTTAAAGAAAAACAAAAACATTTTCTCGTTACCGATCTCTTGTGATAACCAAGCACTCAAATCCATACAAATATAGATATTCTTAATTTTTAAAGCCCAAGTACCTTTACCAATTTCGGCTATAGATTTTAACACTAAATAACACTGTTTTAGGTGTCTTTTAGGCATTGATAATTCACACCAAAATGCTATGCATCTTACCATATACACTACAAACAATGGTTTCTTTCCATATTCTCCTATTACCATATTATTACTAACCGATTTCTTTTCACTTAAATATTAACGACAAAACAGTACTTGGACTTTCTCCATATGTTCTGAATATTGTGCCCATAGTCTCTGACCTATTTCATTAAGGCTTATCAATCAATCAAATATTCCAAACATGTCTTCGATATTAATTTCCGCAAATTTCTTCTGAAATACCCAAGTGGACCCAACTGCTTTTCTTGCTTGACTTCTTAAATCCATTTTTGCTTTAGTCCAAGAGAGAGTACATAACACACCTAAATGTCTACAAAAGAAAACCGTTTCTAGCTTTACCCCATTATAAAACCATTTTTCAGAATTTCGTACTTTTCTCTCCATTCCTAAAAACAGTAATTTTGGTTTTATCTACATTAATCTTTATACCCGTGATTTACAAGAGATTTCCACTGTATTTATCCGTTCCTGTATCCTTACTGTTGTGTTCGCACATCCTGCTACATCATTAGCTAAAAACAATGCATAAATATTTCGTTATACTATTTCAGTTATAAAGAGGGAAAACAATAACGGGCCCATAACACAACCTTGGCGGGTTCCCAGTGTACATGGGAAAGATTAAGTTTGACCTTTCTGTGTTTGAACACAGGAATTAATTGACTATGAATAGTTTCTTTGGCTCTGAGAAACTGAATACTCATACCCTGTTTTCTTAATTCCTTAAATAATACCTAAATTATTATCAAAAACCTTATAAAAATCATTACAGATACCGTAAAATCTTACTCCCTTTTTCAATAGATTTTTCTATACAACACTTTGTATAACTATGTTGTCAATAGTCGAATAATCGGGTCTAAATCCTGTCTGTTCTTCACTCCATTTTGTTGAAAGTTTTCAATCTATTATACAAAATATTAGTGTAAACTTTACAAAAAACATTTATCAATGACGTTCCTCTATAATTTCTAGAGTCAAATTTAGATCCTTTCTTATGGACAGGGGATTTGAAAAGTCTGCAGGAAATTGCCTTAATTCCTAACACATAAACGTAAAGTTGGCAATAAAGTTGTGTTTAACGAGAGAAATCGATAGCCGTTTGTTGCACGGTGATCCCAAGTGCCTATTAAAGACAAAAATATCACTTGTGAGAACCTAACCCGATAAAAGTCTGCGTGTGCCGCAACACCTGGCTGTGTTCACTAAAGTACATTAGGTGTGTCTGCATACAATCCATGTGGTGGGGAGGGGGACAGGGGTTGAGAGTTAGTGTGACCAATACCCGAAATCCCTACCTCTTACAATTAGGGTTTTTAATCATAGCTAAAATTATCAATTTACTATTGGAAGTTTATAGGGGAAGTATAGAGGTGTAAATGTATTAAACCCCATTCCTTTGGGAACTCTCCAGAAAAAAATACATGATTAAATAGTCTGGTAAGAAATCCTTGCATAACTTTCAACATTTCCGCAACAATTCAATCTGGTGCGGGTGATTCACCATTTGAAAGTTTTTTGAATACCTGCACAGAACGTTCTTTGTTTAACATATTAATAAGCTCTGATATGACAATATTATTATCATCATTTACTGAGAAAACATTTATACTATTTATTTCTAATAAATTCTTTAAATAACCAAACCATTACTGGCCAAACAATGGATCTAAAGTACCTTCAGGCTTATTATGATTACTAGATTTAATACATTTCCAGAACTGTGGAATAATTCCGACTGGTTAGCAAATTGTTTTGCTGTTGCTTTTGATGCGATACATAAATAATTCTTAAATTCTCAAATTTGAAACATCAAAATTTCTGTGATAATTATATTTCAGAATTTTGATTTACATATTGATCGGATCGTGATGCCAAATTTATCGGATTGGATTATCGTATCCATAACAATGAGTGAGTGAGTATGGTTTAACGCTGCTTTTAGCAATATTCCAGCAATATCACGGCGGGGGACACCAGAAATGGGCTTCACACATTGTACCCATGTCGGGAATCGAACCCGGGTCTTCGGCGTGACGAGCGAACGCTTTAACCACTAGGCTACGCGACCGCCCCTCATCCATAACAATATCCGTTATATGATCGCTGGTGGTACACTGATTCACTGATTCAATAACGCCTCTTTAACTCGAACAGGATAAAGGTAATGGTATTAAAGTCGACGTTAAACACCCATTTCCCCTCACCCCTTACACTTACAGATTATAACAAGTGTCAGACCAACAATGGCGGATGCAGTCATTTCTGTGTCAGCACCAATGGCGCCTACTTTTGCGAGTGCCCGGATGTAGGACTGCAACTTGGGACAGACAACCACACGTGTCAATAAAGACCCGTGAAGATCCGGGGTAGAATAGGTCTTCAGCAACCCATACTTGCCGTAAAAAGCGACTATGCTTGTCGTAAGAGGCGACTAACGGCATCGGCTGGTGCGGCTCGCTGACTTGGTTGAGACATGTCATCGTATCCAAATTGAGTAGATCGATGCTCATGATAACAATCACTGGATTGTCTGGCCTAGATTTGATTATTTACAGACTGCCGTCATATAGCTGGAATATTGCTGAGTGCGGCGTTAAACAACAAACAAAACTAAATATGAATAGTAATAGACCTAATCCGTGAAAGGAAGAACAAATTCAAATTTCAATATTAATATTTAAAAAAAAAAAAAAATTAAAAAAGAAAAGAAAATATAAATAAAAAATATTAATATTCAATATTACCTGACTTGAATGGTTCATCCACTTCCGTAGTCTAGTGGATAAAACATCTGCCCGTTTATAATTAGTGCAAGTTGCGTGGTTCGATTCCCGACCGCGTCATACCGAAAGGGATTAAAAGATGGTACTTCTTGCCCTGCCTGGCATTCGGCATTAAAGGGATGAACCAAGTACTGGTCAGCTCTGAGTCAGTATGCTGTGTCTGAGTGGGGTGTCCATCTTAAACTGCGGCATGGTACTCAGTGAACCAGTACTATAAAACCGGCTTAAGTTCGGACTAGTACTAGACCGCCTCCGTGGTCTAGTGGTAGAGCGTCCGCCCGGAGAGCGGAAGGTCCGGGGTTCGATCCCGGCCGCGCCATACCAAAAGACGTTAAAAGATTGTACTTCTTGTTGCCCTGTCTGGCGCTCGGCATTAAGGGGCTAAAACAAGGACTGGTCGGTTCGGAGTCAGTATGATGTGTCTTTGGTGTTCATGTTAAACTGCGGCGTGGTATCTCAGTGAGCTAGCACTATAAATCGGCATCAGTCCGGACTAGTACAAGCAGCCACGAACACACGTGCAATAACCTTGGACGCGACGTTAAACCCAATGTCACCTCACCTGACCTCGGACTTGTACCAGCAGCATGTGTCGTTACTCAAGTGCAATAATCGTACACAACGCAGTATCCCACTTCACCTCACCACTTCAATATTACACTTACTGACTTGAACGAGTGTCAGACCTACAATGGCGGCTGTAGTCACTCCTGTGTCAACACCAATGGCGCCTACTATTGCGAGTGCCCGGATGCAGGACTGCAACTAGGGCCTGACAACCACACGTGCCATGGTAACACTACACTTTGATAACATATTGGCAGATATAAAAGAAAGGTTTAAATCGATTACAAAAATCATTCACTCATTTGCCGTAGCAGGTGACATTGGGGACTTTAAATTTTTAAAATGGTCCGGTTTCACAAAGCGATTAAAGTACATAAGTCATAAAATTCGTGGCGGTAGGCTCGCTTGAGGAAATCAGGACACTGCTGATAAGTTTCACTCACTCACTCACTCACTTGTAAAGATGACTGATGTTGGTTTCAGAAAGCAGTCGTATCGTTTTAAACCAACGTTTATTACATACGACCATCGTAACTACGACCGGTTGGTGAAATGGGACCACCGGAAGTTCCCATTAAACAGAAACAGCAACCAGAGCAGGGCCTAATTTCACAAAGCGATCGTAGTCCTAAGTCTGTGTTAAACCACGGGCGTCGACAGTCATAGTGTTACGATCGCTTTGTGAAACGGGGCCCAGGGTCCTGTTCCTGTGAGTATGGTTTTACGCCACTTTTAGAAATATTCCAGCAATATCACAGCGGGGGACACCAGAAATGGGCTTCACACATTGTACCCATGTGGGGAATCGAACCTGGGTCTTCAGCGTGACGAGCGAACGCTTAAACAACCAGGCTATCCCACCGCCCCCTCTTAGAGGAATAATGAGAACATCTCCCAGTTAAACACGCAAATGACTCGAGGCGTGCATAACTATTATATTACAAATATGCTAGCATCTGGCAGATAAATGAATATTTCCCAGCCGAGACAATCGATATAGACAACGCTAGGTACAGAATGCATTAATGAACACTACATTATACGTGCATGGTGCGTTCTCAGCGGAACAGCCGTGACAGGTATGTTCAATCTACAGTACTTACACCAGTCAGTGGTGGGACGCCTATAAACAGGCTTAAAGCGTGGTCGCTGGTGCTAAGACCGGGAAGGTTCGTGATGGAGATATGCAAGGTGTGACTATATATTTTTGGATATTCTGTTATAATATCTGTGTCCGTCTGGCGTCAGCTGCGTCTCTTCGCGTGACCTGTGGGTCCCAGGCAATGGAGGTGGAGTTGGACAAGAGCTATTTCCCTGGGCTTCATGGGCAGGACTTGACCATGAGGGATGGAGGGTGTGCGGCCACGGACACACCCACCCATGTGTTTTTTACTGTGCCGCTCGATGGGTGTGGCACTCAGGTCAAGGTGAGTTTTTTCTCTTTTGAATAGACTTAGTCATCATCATCATCATCATCATCATCATCATCATCATCACTATCATCATCATCACCATCTTCTTCAGCATTATCACTATCATCATCATCATTATCACTATCATCATCATCATCATCATCATCATCATCATCATCATCATCACATCTTCTTCAGCATTATTACTATCATCATCATCCTCCTCCTCCTCATCATCATCATCATCTCTATCATCACCTTCTTCCTCCTCACTCTTATCACCTTTATCCTCAAATCCACCAATCATCATTATCATTTTATAATTTTGTATCAACGTCGTCATTATTGTCAGACATATAACTTTGTTCGTCGTAACAGGTATAAATAAGTTGAGATAACGCAACACGCAAATACAGATATCAGTCTACACCTTTGATTGCCGTGTATTCTCCCCAGGGAGCTGAGGATATAAATTGAATGCTGTTACAATGGTAATGACATGTCATGGCATTTGGGAATGAGACATGTTCTATGGGAGTGAGTGAGTTAAAATATATGGTCACATATGCAACATTTCAGGTATATCATGCCTGGGAAATATTACATATTAATAATATCTAAAAACCTGTCGACGATGAACAGTACAATAAAATAAATATCACAAAGTTGTACACATAGTTACATGTTCTATGGAGCCTTGCGTCATCCCCATCTTCATCTTCGCCACCATAAACCACAGGTTTCAACAACGTCTTGACCAAGGTATCAACGCCTGGCATTAAACTGAGACATTAAAATCGGGGACAATGAATTAGTTCAGATGTCATCGTAATATCTATGCTTTCATGAAAGCTTCAAACTAACTTTGAAATAAAACCATCATTAGTTGCTTGACTATTCTCATATTCGTAACACATGTCTCTACTTGCCATTGCAATACGTGCCAGATTGGTCGCTACAGTTCGTATACGACTGACATGATACATATACGGAGGCAGGGATGGGATATACGACCATATAGCATATCACGCACCCAGCTGTGCCGCATAAAGACTAGATGACATAAGCTTAGTGCCTGCATCCTAAGTACCGTAGCCTTGCTCCAAGGCTGTACTGAAAGAATATCCCTGGGTAAGTCTAGATATGTTGACAGTACAATCTCCAGGACTCCAGTCTCTTATAGGGCCAACTTGTTCTAATCATTTACATAATCTAGAACTTATGATTTAAAACTAATAATTATTGCCATAGAGACTTGTGCAAGTCTATAAGTGCCGTGTCTACTCTAGATGGACTTCGGAACGGGTCGGCATGAGATGAAATGTAGATTAATGACGTTAGAATGATTCTGTTATATATGTACGGCGTATGTGATATGTGCAATCATACAAAACGTGCGAGGTCGTATGTAACAGGTGTCCCTTGATCACATGTGACATATTTACATTCGTTTAGAATAAACATTGTTTTATTTGTCTGATAACATCACATTGCGTATCAGTTTTAAGTTGACAACTGACGAAAAATTCATCTATTCTCCGCTGTTTATGCCATATTCACACATACACCGTGTGCGTCCCAGTACCAGATATTTATCATGTGGATAGATTTTAAAATAAATATGAAATTCAAAACTACGATATTCATGAGTAATTTTGTCAACGTTAGAAAATTCATGATCAGGAATTTATCACTAGAGGCTGAGGGGCCCTAGACGCCCTAGACGCCCTAGACTCCACAATTCCCTGTGCAGAGTTGCGTCCCTTAGACGTGCCAGAAACCGGAGTTTGTGGGTTGGAGTCGCAGATTCGCACTGATTGCGTTTGTAGGTTTGTCAGCACCATTCTCGTGCTCACCAAAGTGGTACACGTCTTACCCATGCATCACTTCGGGCTCCACTCCCACGACGTGAAATAACTGAGACACTGCTTCCCTGATCACACATTAAATGTCCCCCATCACTATCACTGTCCGAAAATATCCAATCAACCTACACCATCACTTACTGAATATAACCCCACAAGCTACACCATCACTTACTGAATATAACCCCACAGGCTATACCATCACTTACTGAATATAAACCCACCAGCTATACCATCACTTACTGAATATAACCCCACCAGCAATACCATCACTTACTGAATATAACCCCACAAGCTATACCATCACTTACTGAATATAACCCCACAAGCTATACCATCACTTACTGAATATAACCCCACCAGCTATACCATCACTTAATGAATATAACCCCACCAGCAATACCATCACTTACTGAATATAACCCCATAAGCTATACCATCACTTACTGAATATAACCCCACCAGCTATACCTTCACTTAATGAATATAACCCCACCAGCAATACCATCACTTACTGAATATAACCCCACAAGCTATACCATCACTTACTGAATATAACCTCACCAGCAATACCATCACTTACTGAAAATAACCCCACAGGCTACACCATCACTTACTGAATATAACCCCACCAGCTATACAATCACTTACTGAATATAACCCTACAGGCTATACCTTCACTTACTGAATATAACCCCACAAGCTATACCATCACTTACTGAATATAACCCCACAACCTATACCATCACTTACTGAATATAACCCCACCAGCTATACCATCACTTACTGAATATAACCCCACAGGCTATACCATCACTTACTGAATATAACCCCACCAGCTATACCATCACTTACTGAATATAACCCCACCAGCAATACCATCACTTACTGAATATAACCCCACAAGCTATACCATCACTTACTGAATATAACCCCACAACCTATACCATCACTTACTGAATATAACCCCACCAGCTATACCATCACTTACTGAATATAACCCCACCAGCAATACCATCACTTACTGAATATAACCCCATAAGCTATACCATCACTTACTGAATATAACCCCACCAGCTATACCTTCACTTAATGAATATAACCCCACCAGCAATACCATCACTTACTGAATATAACCCCACAAGCTATACCATCACTTACTGAATATAACCTCACCAGCAATACCATCACTTACTGAAAATAACCCCATAGGCTACACCATCACTTACTGAATATAACCCCACCAGCTATACAATCACTTACTGAATATAACCCTACAGGCTATACCATCACTTACTGAATATAACCCCACAAGCTATACCATCACTTACTGAGTATAACCCCCCCCCCCCCCCCCCCCAGCTATACCATCACTTACTGAATATAACCCCACCATCTCTACCATCACTTACTGAGTATAACCCCCCCCCCCCCCCCCCCCCCCAGCTATACCATCACTTACTGATCAAACCCCACCAGCTATACCATCACTTACTGAATATAACCCCACAAGCTATACCATCACTTACTGAATATAACCCCACAACCTACACCATCACTTACTGAATATAACCCCACCAGCTATACAATCACTTACTGAATATAATCCCACAGGCTACACCATCACTTACTGAATATAACCCCACCAGCTATACCATCACTTACTGAATATAACCCCACCAGCAATACCATCACTTACTGAATATAACCCCACAAGCTATACCATCACTTACTGAATATAACCCCACAAGCTATACCATCACTTACTGAATATAACCCCACCAGCTATACCATCACTTACTGAATATAACCCCACCAGCAATACCATCACTTACTGAATATAACCCCACAAGCTATACCATCACTTACTGAATATAACCCCACAAGCTATACCATCACTTACTGAATATAACCCCACCAGCTATACCATCACTTACTGAATATAACCCCACCAGCAATACCATCACTTACTGAATATAACCCCATAAGCTATACCATCACTTACTGAATATAACCCCACCAGCTATACCTTCACTTAATGAATATAACCCCACCAGCAATACCATCACTTACTGAATATAACCCCACAAGCTATACCATCACTTACTGAATATAACCTCACCAGCAATACCATCACTTACTGAAAATAACCCCACAGGCTACACCATCACTTACTGAATATAACCCCACCAGCTATACAATCACTTACTGAATATAACCCTACAGGCTATACCATCACTTACTGAATATAACCCCACAAGCTATACCATCACTTACTGAATATAACCCCACAACCTATACCATCACTTACTGAATATAACCCCACAGGCTATACCATCACTTACTGAATATAATCCCACCAGCTATACCATCACTTACTGAATATAACCCCACAGGCTATACCATCACTTACTGAATATAACCCCACAAGCTATACCATCACTTACTGAATATAACCCCACAACCTACACCATCACTTACTGAATATAACCCCACAAGCTATACCATCACTTACTGAATATAACCCCACAACCTACACCATCACTTACTGAATATAACCCCACCAGCTATACCATCACTTACTGAATATAATCCCACAGGCTACACCATCACTTACTGAAGCTATACCATTACTTACTGAATATAACCCCACCAGCTATACCATCACTTACTGAATATAACCCCACCAGCTATACCATCACTTACTGAATATAATCCCACCAGCTATACCATCACTTACTGAATATAACCCCACAAGCTATACCATCACTTACTGAATATAACCCCACAAGTTATACCATCACTTACTGAATATAACCCCACAGGCTATACCATCACTTACTGAATATAACCCTACCAGCTATACCTTCACTTAATGAATATAACCCCACAAGCTACACCATCACTTACTGAATATAACCCCACAGGCTATACCATCACTTACTGAATATAACCCCACAAGCTACACCATCACTCACTGAATATAACCCAACAAGCTTTCCCATCACTTACTGAACATAACCCCACAACCTACACCATCACTTACTGAATATAACCCCACAGGCTATACAATCACTGTTTGTCTAGTATTTCCCAATATGTGTGTCAGGAAGTAGATGATGCGTTTGTCTAGTATTTATCAATATCTATGTCAGGAAGTCGGTGATGCGATGGTCTAGTATTTCCCAATATATGTGTCAGGAAGTAGATGATGCGTTTGTCTGGTATTTCTCAATATGTATGTCAGGAAGTCGGTGATGCGTCTGTCTAGTATTTCCCGATATGTATGTCAGGACGTCGGTGATGCGTCTGTCTAGTATTTATCAATATCTATGTCAGGAAGTCGGTGATGCGTCTGTCTAGTATTTCCCGATATGTATGTCAGGAAGTCGGTGATGCGTCTGTCTAGTATTTCCCGTTATGTATGTCAGGACGTCGGTGATGCGTCTGTCTAGTATTTCCCGATATGTATGTCTGGACGTCGGTGATGCGTCTGTCTAGTATTTATCAATATCTATGTCAGGAAGTCGGTGATGCGTCTGTCTAGTATTTCCCGTTATGTATGTCAGGACGTCGGTGATGCGTCTGTCTAGTATTTATCAGTATTTATGTCAGGAAGTCGGTGATGCGTCTGTCTAGTATTTCCCGATATGTATGTCAGGAAGTCGGTGATGCGTCTGTCTAGTATTTATCAATATCTATGTCAGGAAGTCGGTGATGCGTCTGTCTAGTATTTCCCGATATGTATGTCTGGACGTTGGTGATGCGTCTGTCTAGTATTTATCAATATCTATGTCAGGAAGTCGGTGATGCGTCTGTCTAGTATTTCCCGTTATGTATGTCAGGACGTCGGTGATGCGTCTGTCTAGTATTTCCCGATATGTATGTCTGGACGTCGGTGATGCGTCTGTCTAGTATTTATCAATATCTATGTCAGGAAGTCGGTGATGCGTCTGTCTAGTATTTCCCGTTATGTATGTCAGGACGTCGGTGATGCGTCTGTCTAGTATTTCCCGATATGTATGTCAGGAAGTCAGTGATGCGTCTGTCTGGTATTTCTCAATATGTATGTCAGGAAGTCGGTGATGCGTTTGTCTAGTATTTCCCGATATGTATGTCAGGACGTCGGTGATGCGTCTGTCTAGTATTTCTCAATATGTATGTCAGGAAGTCGGTGATGCTTTTGTCTGGTATTTCTCAATATGTATATCAGGCCGTCGGTGATGCGTCTGTCTAGTATTTCTCAATATCTATGTCAGCAAGTCGGTGATGCGTTTGTCTGTTATTTCTCAATATCTATGTCAGGAAGTCGGTGATGCGTTTGTCTGGTATTTCTCAATATGTATGTCAGGCCGTCGGTGATGCGTCTGTCTAGTATTTCTCAATATCTATGTCAGGAAGTCGGTGATGCGTTTGTCTGGTATTTCTCAATATCTATGTCAGGAAGTCGGTGATGCGTTTGTCTAGTATATCTCAATATCTATGTCAGGAAGTCGGTGATGCGTTTGTTTGGTATTTCTCAATATCTATGTCAGGAAGTCGGTGATGCGTTTGTCTGGTATTTATCAATATGTATGTCAGGAAGTCGGTGATGCGTTTGTCTGGTATTTCTCAATATGTATGTCAGGAAGTCAGTGATTCGTTGGTCTAGTATTTCTCAATATGTATGTCAGGAAGTCGGTGATGCGTTTGTCTAGTATTTCTCAATATCTAAGTAAGGAAGTCGGTAATGCGTAAGTCAGTGATTCGTTGGTCTAGTATTTCTCAATATGCATGTCAGGACGTCGGTGATGCGTCTATCTAGTATTTCTCAATATCTATGTCAGGAAGTCGGTGATGCGTTTGTCTAGTATTTCCCGATATGTATGTCAGGAAGTCGCTGATGCGCCTGTCTAGTTTTTCTCACTATGTATGTCAGGAAGTTGATGATGCGTCGTCTAGTATTTCTCTTTTTGTACGGCAGAACATCGAGGATGCGTTTGTCTATGAGAATCAGGTGTTGTCGCACACGGTGCCGGTAAAGGGGCTGGTGAAGACGGTGAGGGACGTCAACATCACGGTCCGCTGCTACTACAGTAACAACATCACGGCGAGAAACTTCTACGTTGTTGACACGGGCGAGCTGCACTTCACCGACCACAATCAAGGAGCCTACCAGATCAGGTATGCAGGTCATACGCGGAGGTCTGGCACTGGATCAGCTCGTTCAGACAACTGACACTTATTCATTATGTAATGGACCGCCTCCGTGGTCTAGTGGTAGATCGTCCGCCCGGAGAGCGGAAGGTCCGGGGTTCGATCCCCGACCGCGTCATTCCAAAAGACGTTAAAAGATGGTACTTCTTGTTACCCTGTCTGACGCTCGGCATTATGGGGCTAAAACAAGGACTGGTCGGCTCGGAGTCAGTATACTGTGTCTGAGTGGGGTATTCCTGTTAAACTGCGGCATGGTATCTCAGTGAGCTAGCACTATAAATCGGCATCCGTCCGGACTAGTACAAGCAGCCACACAAACACACACACGTATATGCACGTCGCTATATAAGTGTAATAATCTTGGACGCGACCTTAAACCCCATTTCACCTCACCTCATTATATAATGCACAAGGGGTAAGGTCGTTCTGTTTACAAATATTGTATCCCTTCCTCTTTTCGGAATTACTCGGGAGAATGGGTCCACAGCCTGCAATAGCCACCACAAGCCGACAATGCAGGTCAGATCAAACATGATTTGCTTGTTTGTTTGTTGTTTAACGCCACACTCAACAATATTCCAACTATATGACTGCGGTCTGTAAATAATCGAGTCTGGGCCAGACAATGCAGTGACTGACATCATGAGCATCCATCTACGCAATGAGGGTAAGATGATATACATCAACCAAGTCAGCGAGCCTGACCACCCGATCCTGGTAGTATCCTCTTACGATATGTCATCGAACCCGACCTCGTGGATCGGTGCTCATGCAGTCGACCACTGTCCAAGACTCGATTATTTACAGAATAGGCGTACGATAACTTTCTGTCGAATAAATGGAAAAGTCGAACTTATTTCGCCAATCCCTTTAATGTCGACACCAGTCATTGCATTGCTATGTGATCTCTTATTTTCTTCCTTCTTCCGTATTATATACAACTAAATATCGGTGTAATACCTGAATACATTTCAACCTAACCGTGACGAATTTGTCTTCAGCAACCCATGCTTGTCGGAATGGGCGACTATGCTTGGGAAAGGCAACTAACGGGATTGGGGGGTCAGGCTCGGTGACTTGGTTGATGCTTGTCATCGTGTCCCAGTCATGTACTCCGATACTCGTTGTGTCATTCACTGATTCAGATTCAGATTATTTACAGATCACCGTCAATACTGGTCGCAGAAATATTGCAATAAACAATATACAAAGGAACATCCGAACCTATATGTTCTGCCAAAAAAACTCTTTATTTTATGTTATAGAAAATATCGATTATCTATTTCAGCATAGACCTTATCCACAACGGAAACAGTTATAACCCAAACAACTCCGTTGAGCCCGGCGAGGAGCTGTCAATCAAGCTGTCTCTCCATAGCAACGATTCGCACTTGCAGGTGTTCGCCAGAAGCTGCAAGGCCACGCCCACAGATGAAACAGACCACCGTGAACAATACCTTATTTTAGACAATGGGTACGGCATTGTATCATGAAAGAGATTGTGTTAGAGATGAGACAAAGCAATCCGATAATTTAAGTATCACGATCCAATAATTATGCAAATGAAAGTACGCATCAGAACAACTTTGGATGAACGGCTAGCTGGATCAATTGTTACATGTTTAATGTATCTACTAAAGTTTATTGTATGTTTCTGTCTAAAGTGACAATGAACAGGTTGATACCGGATTTAATATTCATTTATCCCACGAACTTGCTTGTCAGATTTTTGTGTGGACAAGCCAACATTATCCCAATCATCAGATATATATGCTCACTTCCAAAATGTGTTTGTTTGTTTGTTTGTTCTTTAACGCCGCACTCAGCAATATTCCAGCTATAGGACGGCGGTCTGTAAATAATCGAGTCTGGACCATATAATACAGTGAGTGAGTGAGAGAGTTAAGCTTAACGTCACATCGGCAACATTTCAGCCATATCGTGACGAGACAAAATTTGTCATTAATATCATATATCTAAACTGTATAAAATTCTGTCGCCGAAGGACAGTGTAATGACTAGAATATCACAGATTTGCGTAAAACGAGTTTGAGAGCATGTAAAAATAGATAACTAACTAACTAACTAACTAACTAACTAACCATTCAGCAACACAATATAATATAAAACGGGCTATAGATCGCTACCAACTTAGGTACATCACCAACCTTGGGACCATAAGGACTTACAGTACTTTTGCTACCTGCATGGACCCCAGCCGGATTTACATCATCCCTTCAGTTGTTGGCGATTGCTGACAAATTTAGCCAAACATTAAAATAACACATATGCTACGATTAAAAACGTGGCAGAAATAAATATGCTTTGAAAGACGTGGTCTTACATACCCTCTCAGATATAATACAGTGATTGACATCATGAGCATCGATCCATCCAATTGGGATACGATGACATACATCAACCAAGTCAGCGAGCCTGACCACCCGATCCCCTTATATTAGTCGCCTCTTACGACAGGCAAAGTCGCCTTTTACGGAAAGCATTGGTTGCTGAATACCAATTCTAACCCGGATCTTCACGGGTACTCACTTCCAAAAGAAACGCACACCCTAAATGTTAAAACGAAAAGGTAATAAATATTTCATACTTTCGGGTGTGCGTTTCTTTCGAAAGTAAGTATATATATTACCTTGCTAACATGCTGAATAGCATGTGAAATCTCCTTTATAAAGTGATCCAGTCGTAAAATGGATATTCATAACATGTTTGCAAAGTTATTTGTCTTACAGATGCGTCACCGAATCGACCTTGACCTTCAAAGACGTCAGTCACATGACAGAGGAGACCTTGACCTTAGAGACGTTCAAGTTCGTGAACAGTTCCAGCATGGTATACTTCCACTGCGAGGTGTTGGTCTGTAACGCGTCTGACCCCGAGTCCAGATGTCACCACGGTTGTCTGGCCCCAGGGAGGGGGAGGGGGGACGCTGGAGGGAGGGTCCGGAGGAACTCCGATAGGAAGAGTCTCCGAGCCGACGTTTACCTCGCATCTCACCATCTCACTGCAGGGCCAGTGGGAATAAATGGACATGAGGCCTCAAAGCGGACGAAAAAATCGGGTATGTCCAATCGATATTTAGACCCGTGAAGATCCGGGGTAGATTAGATCTTCATCAACCCATGCTTGCCGTATAAGAGCGTCTATGCTTTTCGTAAGAGGCGACTAACGGAGTGGGGTGGTTAGGCTCGCTGACTTGGTTGATGCATGTCATCGTATCCCAATTGCGTGGATCGATGTTCGTGATGTCAATCGCTGGATTGTCTGGTCCAGACTCGATAATTTACAGACCGTCGTCTTATAGCTGGAATATTGCTGAATGCGGCGTAAAACAACAAACCAACCAATCGATATTTAACGCTTAAAACATGGTTAATTAGAGCGAGCCATGCGTACCGCCGCATTCAGCTATATGCCAGCTCTCACGACGGCCTTGACATTAATCGAGGCTTGTTCAGACAAACCAGTGGTTGATAGCTCAAACACTATTTCATAATGCCAGCCCACTGTGACACCATGCCGCATTTTAACATGAATACCTTACTCAGTACAGTGACTCCGAGCCGACCAGTCCTTATTTAGCCCCTAACACCGAGCGAAGGCGGTCGCATATGGTTGAAGGGAAACATGGAACAATAACGTCCTTTTGGTATGATGCGGCCAGGGATCGAACCCCCGACCTTCCGCTCTTAGGGCACACGCTCTATTTATTAGACCATGAAGGCGGTCGCATATGGTTGAAGGGAAATATGGAGCAATAACGTCCTTTTGGTATGATGCGGCCAGGGATCGAACCCCCGACCTTCCGCTCTTAGGGCACACGCTCTATCTATTAGACCATGAAGGCGGTCGCATATGGTTGAAGGGAAATATGGAGCAATAAATTGTTTCAAGATGAAGTATTTCTAAACTGCATTGCTTGGTGGATTTCAGCACTCCTCATCTCTACTTTAAACATTGACCTTCTGGTCTCCCTAAGTCTGTTTTTTTTAAAATATATATATCATCTGGTATCCCCAAGGCTGAATCTGCTTGTATGAAACTTAAGGAGACCCCTTAACATGTACAACTTTCTTTAACAATAGTGAGGACGATTTAGACTTTAAAATATATGGTTAAACCTGTACAAGTAAATTTTCAATAAAACATACATTTGGTATGTGTGCGCTAGTCCTGACTATTGCCGATTTTAAAGTGCTAGCCCACTAATACCCCGTTCACATGCACAACATTTACTAACGTAAGTAATTTTACACAAGCGTAACTATACATACGTGTGTATATGTAAATTTACTATGCGTTCACATGAAAAGCATCTTAGGTGTGAAAATAAAGCATGGAAATTGTGTAAGATAGTCAGTCTGTTAAAAAACCAGGTTGTTTTCCAATTAAAATTGAATGAGAAGAGTTACTTCACCGAACAAATTCGCGTGAAGCAACATGTGTTTGATTTAATTTGTACACAAAGATTTGACTACTTGAAACCAAAAGAAAACACCGTCTGCTCAACTTTGTATATACCCATAAAAGTTGGCAACTGTTGGCAATTTGTTTGGTGTTGGCAAAAGAACAGATATTAATTAGATCATCCTCTTACGTTGACATAAAAGTTCACATTGCAACATATACACACAGTGCAAATTTACATTTACATTTGCACCTGCTCCAGACATGATGCAAATTTGCTCCTGGTGTAAATATACACACGAGTAAAAGCGTTCACATGGCAAGTATACTCACGTATGTATTTCTACACACGTATGCACACATATGTATAGAGGCGCATGTGGACGGGGTATAAGACACCATGATAGTTAATCTGACAGATTAGCCATAGTCATGTGAACAAATCGGGGTTCTTCAACTTCTTTTCAGTAGTATATATCGTATTATTTATTTACGCTTTTCGTGGTCACCAGATATCCATAACCACAAAGCCTCGAACCCAGAGACGGTGCGTGCTGCTGTGACTGCTGGGCTAGCTCTCCTGGGCGTGGTCCTCATCATGATCACGGTCGCTATCTCCATCGTTGTCAAGAGCGACGACGAAGACGTGGATATCAAGGATGAAGCTAGAGAAAGACTTTTAGATGGAGATGAATAGTATTGCCTTATTAAACATTGATGATTTTTAATATTGTGTGGGGTTTTTAATAGTTAAAATTAAAATTTGCACAGTCGATGGCTTAGTATTAGATGTGAGTGACTTTGGTTAACGCTGCTTTGAACAGTATTTTAGTTACATAGAGGTGAGTCAGTTTGGTTTAACACTCCCTTGAAGAGTATTCCAGTTGTATCACGGCGGGTCAGCTTAATGTGGCACCGCGAAGTGATGCAGGTCTTGGACGTTTACCACTTCGGTGAAAGCCACGAGCACGGGTATGGTGCTGACAAACCTAGCAACACCATGATAGGTTTGTGGCGTGCCCAAGGGACGCAACTCTGCACCGAATTGGGTCATCTGGAGGTGAGTGGGTCACATTGTTGAAGCCCACGATGCAAGAGTAAATATTTTTGTTTTTATTTTTCTGGTTGGTTGGTTAAAGATAGACTTTATGAGTGTCAATTCTATTAGTGGCCTCAGACTACAAACTTAAATCTGCCGATGGATGTTTACAAACGTGCGTGCGTGTGTGTGTGTGTGTGTGCGTGCGTGCGTGCGTGCATGCGTGCGTGTGTGTATGTGTGTTTGAAGATTGTGAATTAATTAACAGTTTACCAATTAATTTGTTACGTTTGACAAACTGTCGACGAGAAATAGAAACGGTTTCTATTCTCATCATATTTAGCCAACATTTCAGAGTTTTCAACCTCAAGTTTGGCATGTGAATGGTTGTCAGACATATGTTGGTCTCTTACAACCAATCAAATACTGCGTAGACTTCACGTGATTGTTACTTACGTGTGCCACAAAATGGCGTCGGCATTTGAGAGACTTGTAGAGGAACTAAGCAGCAATTAACAACACAGATTTGTCGTGAGAAAATAAAGTTGGCAAGACCTTTTGAGTTCATCCATAAAAGATCTTTTTAATGATATCATTTAATCCTTCGTTTTTAAAAGAAATAGAACAAAATGGGAATGCTTAATTCCAGACTGGCGTTATAAGACTTAAATATTTGTGAGTGTAGCATTACATGACAAACAAAAAAGGGTGGTGAAAATAAAATAAATTGCACATTATTCAGGACAATTCAGCTTGTTCATATCACATGTTTCATTATCATCTAGACCGCCTCCGTGGTCTAGTGGTAGAGCGTGGGGTTCGATCCCCAACCGCGTCATACCAAAAGACGTTAAAAGAGTGTACTTGTTACCCTGTCTGACGCTCGGCATTAAGGGGCTAAAACAAGGACTGGTCGGCTCGGAGTCAGTATACTATGTCTGAGTGGGGTATTCATGCTAAACTGCGGCATGGTATCTCAGTGAGCTAGCACTATAAATCGGCATCAGTCCGGACTAAGTACAAGCAGCCACACAAACACACACACATACATGCACGTCGCTATATAAGTGCAATAATCTTGGACGCGACGTGAAACCCCATTTCACCTCACCTCACATTATCATCTAGCATTTGGGAGTCAATACATTTTACCAATCGAGTAACAATAACGGGTTTGTTGGCAGTCATCTGCCGACTGACCGTGTACATTCGTGACAAGCCGAATAGGGACTCGTGCCCCTCTCGTGTCCATTTATGCGACCGGGTTCCGTCTTAGCGCAAACGGGCATACCTAAAAGAACTGTCAATTCGTTGCGTAATGGTTCACACATATATCCACATATATCGTATACATTTCAGATTTTTAGATGCAAGACATATGTAAAATCAAAAATTATTCCTGAGGGATTCTTTGACGTCTGATTGGTTTGTCGTATTTTGGCACATAACATTCATCGATGGGGTACGAGTCTTCGTGGAGGTTACGGAAAGGGGCGAGTGGTGACGAATGGGTTGGTGCATGTCATCGTATCCGATTGCGAAGATCGATGCTCATGATGCCAATCACTGGATTGTCTGGTTTAGACCCGATTGTTTACAGACATAAGGCAGGAATATTGCTGAGTGCGGTGTTGAACAACCAACCAACCAACAAACAAACAAACTATCAAACCCACCCGTTTTTGCAAACGTACATGCCCGTGCGAAGTCGCATTTCCACTTCCACTGTCCTTCTGCTTCACCCAGTGTGTGGTGACACGTTTCAACCACGTGAATTTCGTGCAGCACGTGCACTACAGTTGCTCCGACTCACAGTGGTGAGAAGGACACGGCGAAGCAGCCTGAACCGGGCTATAAAACCTGGACCAACTGTAGCGCTGGCGGGGGCTTAACCCAAACAAGGAATTCACGAATTTGGTTTTCCGAATATACTCAAGAGACCCGGCGGTGATGATATCACTTAAGATGTAAACGGATGTAATGTGATATATATATTCATACAACGAAAACCACACGTTATACCAAACCTGTACTTAGCTATTAATGGCGTGGTACTGGTAGCAGTCAATTCCAGCTGCAGCTGTATTCTGATGCAGTAAATGCAGCATCAGCAGCTTTCGAGATAGTTGTTAATGCTACAACGGACAAACAATTCGAATATATATCCTCTTGAAGGAAGCTACCTTCAAATGGGCCAGTCATCTAAGGCGCCGCAATTCGCTGTGCAGAGTTGCGTCCCTTGGGCACGATACGAACTATTACTTTGAGGGGAATGTCCGAGTTACGAGGATATTCCCCTACTTAAAACTCATCCCTACTTTTACACTTTGACAAAATATTCTGTAGTTGAAAATATTTGAAAAATTCAAATGCTGCTTCAAGATAATGTACAGTTGACAAGCAACTCATCATTCCTGAAAAATAATGGAGCGTTCAAACAATAGAATGACGTCACAGATGTGTTCTAATTACAGTAATGACACAAATTACAAAGTGCGCTTTTCAAGAAATGTCCATTTTGCGAGCGATAAATATCATCACCGAGTTTTGATCACCTGGTTACAATCCGGTTAAGTCAGGTGACATCGAGCGCCTATTTTTAGCAGTGAACTTGGTCAAAAGCCTTTTAATACTACATCTGCACGTGCTTTTATTTCAGTTCGTACTTGTAATATACGTACGCTGCTCACGACGCTAAATATAGCCTAATATTGTCACCTGGCTGCCGAAAATTACACGGATAGTATTCACGTGATCAAAACTCGGGGGTGATATGTATCATAAGCAAAATGGATATTTCTTGAAAAGCTCACTTTTCAGTTTTTGTCATTACTGTTAGTAATATTCACTTGAAAATCGGAATCTTCACGCAGTTTAGGATTTTAGTGGTAGGTGGTTTATCAAGTTGTAGGAGTCATGTCTCTTCGCTGACACGACTGCACGTTGTTCACAGAGATGGTCAACGAAGATTGAAAGGCTGTTTTAGATCATGATGACATCGCCATGCGGATTTATGACAAACTAATGTCGATGACTTGGTGACTTTATATTTAATGTGTATTTGATAATTGTGATTTCAAAGTTGAATTAAAAAATACAAAAAGCATTTGTTGTGTTTTAACTTTTAAGTTCGTGATATTCCAGCAATATCACGGCGGGGCTTCACACTTTGTACCCAAGAAATACTAGTAAGTATAGTTATACGAAAATCTCATATAACTAAACTTACTGGTTATTCACTCGCATAATTCACTAGCAGGGGCCCCTTTTAAGTAAGTGTTTCACAAAATATACGTACATTGTGACGTAAGCAAACAACGTTAAAATATGAAAAATAAATTACCACCCCGCACTACGAATGGACATGTAAAAACATAAAAATAATGTTATCGATTCGTTTTTATTGTTAAAATTTTATTTGTCAGCATAGATTTCTTAAATGAATGTCGAAAATATGTTGGTGAAACATGTATGTATAATTATTACTAATAAAACATATGACAAAATAAATTTCAAATTTTTGTTTCAAATATAATCTAACAAACGGTCCCAAAATGCAGGAAATAGCGTTTAAGAGCATCTAATTTAAAAGAAAGAAATCTGGGGTTGGGTTGGGTGGCATGCATTGTACTTTGGTTTTGCTTACCCATAAAAACAGAATAGTTGCCACCCTGATATTCCGTATGGGCGGAATGGCTTGTTTTCACTGCATATATTAGTACACGTGCAGCTATCTTCGTTAAGTAATCATCGCGGTATTTCGTGGTTCTATTCAAGTGGCGAGGACTATAGCATTAGATAAGGGCGGGCGTCAGATGACAAACACGAGAGACTCTCCTGTATTAGTTCATTAATACTATCAAGAAATGTTCGCTTCTACCCATCGTAGTATGGTACAATCACCGGTTTTATCATCCAAGGCTGACACGCGTTTGTTCCCACAGAAATCCAGAAAAAGATAAGCCTTTGGACCAGGCTTACAGTAGAAATACTGGGACAATGTTGGATTATTTCAGGCAGCTGTCTGCCGTGTTTACAATAGCTCTATTGTTCCCTCTTACTTTTTCACAGGTAAATATAGAGTACATATTTGCTTATTGGCATTTTCTCCAGTTTTATGTATGTTAGTATTTTATTCTTTTCAGTAAGAAAAAATAACATTGGAGAATTGGAGATATAATGATATTGTATCTACTATTATATTGCCCAATGTCAACCTACTAGTTATTTTGACCTTTGCAATCTTGCCACAAAACGTCAGAGACGTATAAATCAAATGATTAATTTAAATCGATTGTAATTCATTTTTTCTTTTTTTTTTAGTGTCGTGTAACAATTTCGCGTCTGTAGTCATGTCCTAGATTATGATAACCATAAAAATAACGAAAAATATATGCCGCCCTTGCGATGTTTCAAAGCACTCATGTTACACTGCAACATGGTATTATCAGTGAGCTTGCAATGGCAGTGAGATCCGGGGTAGAATAGGTCTTCAGCAACCCATGCTTGCCGTAAAAGGCGACTATGCTTGTCGTAAGAGGTGACTAACGGGATCAGGTGGTCAGGATCGCTGACTTGGTTGATGCATGTCATTGTATGCCAATTGCGTGGATAGTCTGGCTCAGACTCGATTATTTACAGATCGCCGTCATATAGCTGGAATAGTGCGGCGTTAAACAACAAACAAACTAATACAAGCAAACACACCTACATAGACGTCGCCATATCAATCCCACACTCTTGAACACGACGTTAAACCTCATTTCAACTCACCTTTGAACATTATCTCATGTTTTAATAATGGAAAGGCAAACTGCAGTTTTTGTGGTGGATGACAGTAAGATAACTTTATCCAAAAGCACGAGGAAATGAAAGTATTATCCCAAGGAAATGTTGAGTCGCATGTTCCTTCCATGTTGACAGACCCCCGGGGATGTTCGCCTGGTGGGCGGTGCCTGGCCGGGGGAGGGGAGGCTGGAGGTGTTCAGAGGAAGGTGGGTGATAAATACTATGTGTTGGTAAAACCTCTGATATTTAACATCTGAAGTTAAACCTTTCAAGATGGTTGACTACGTGATCATGTGAAGATTCCGGGTTACAGAAGAGCCTTAAGACCCCACAATTCCTTCAGAATGTTCCCGGGTAGACACCAATCGCAAACCTACCCTTCCTTCAGAAAGTCCCCAGGAAGAAACCAACCTCATCTCTCTCCTTTCTCCAATGCCAACACTACCCTTCCTTCACAATGTTCCCAGGCAGACACCAATGCCAACACTACCCTTCCTTCACAATGTTCCCAGACAGACGTCAATGCCAACACTACCCTTCCTTCACAATGTTCCCAGACAGACGTCAATGCCAACACTACCCTTCCTTCACAATGTTCCCAGGCAGACACCAATGCCAATACTACCCTTCCTTCAGAATGTTCCCAGGCAGACACCAATGCCAACACTACCCTTCCTTCAGAATGTTCCCAGACAGACGTCAATGCCAACACTACCCTTCCTTCACAATGTTCCCAGACAGACACCAATGCCAATACTACCCTTCCTTCACAATGTTCCCAGGCAGACACCAATGCCAATACTACCCTTCCTTCACAATGTTCCCAGGCAGACACCAATGCCAACACTACCCTTCCTTCAGAATGTTCCCAGACAGACGTCAATGCCAACACTACCCTTCCTTCACAATGTTCCCAGACAGACGTCAATGCCAACACTACCCTTCCTTCACAATGTTCCCAGGCAGACACCAATGCCAACACTACCCTTCCTTCACAATGTTCCCAGACAGACGTCAATGCCAACACTACCCTTCCTTCACAATGTTCCCAGACAGACGTCAATGCCAATACTACCCTTCCTTCAGAATGTTCCCAGACAGACGTCAATGCCAACACTACCCTTCCTTCACAATGTTCCCAGGCAGACACCAATGCCAATACTACCCTTCCTTCACAATGTTCCCAGACAGACGTCAATGCCAACACTACCCTTCCTTCAGAATGTTCCCAGACAGACGTCAATGCCAACACTACCCTTCCTTCACAATGTTCCCAGACAGACGTCAATGCCAATACTACCCTTCCTTCACAATGTTCCCAGACAGACGTCAATGCCAACACTACCCTTCCTTCACAATGTTCCCAGACAGACGTCAATGCCAACACTACCCTTCCTTCACAATGTTCCCAGACAGACGTCAATGCCAACACTACCCTTCCTTCACAATGTTCCCAGGCAGACACCAATGCCAATACTACCCTTCCTTCACAATGTTCCCAGACAGACGTCAATGCCAACACTACCCTTCCTTCAGAATGTTCCCAGACAGACGTCAATGCCAACACTACCCTTCCTTCACAATGTTCCCAGGCAGACACCAATGCCAATACTACCCTTCCTTCACAATGTTCCCAGGCAGACACCAATGCCAATACTACCCTTCCTTCAGAATGTTCCCAGACAGACGTCAATGCCAACACTACCCTTCCTTCACAATGTTCCCAGACAGACGTCAATGCCAACACTACCCTTCCTTCACAATGTTCCCAGACAGACGTCAATGCCAACACTACCCTTCCTTCACAATGTTCCCAGGCAGACACCAATGCCAATACTACCCTTCCTTCACAATGTTCCCAGACAGACGTCAATGCCAACACTACCCTTCCTTCAGAATGTTCCCAGACAGACGTCAATGCCAACACTACCCTTCCTTCAGAAAGTCCCCAGGAAGAAACCAACCTCATCTCTCTCCTTTCTCCAATGCCAATACTACCCTTCCTTCACAATGTTCCCAGGCAGACACCAATGCCAATACTACCCTTCCTTCACAATGTTCCCAGACAGACGTCAATGCCAACACTACCCTTCCTTCACAATGTTCCCAGACAGACGTCAATGCCAACACTACCCTTCCTTCACAATGTTCCCAGGCAGACACCAATGCCAACACTACCCTTCCTTCACAATGTTCCCAGGCAGACGTCAATGCCAACACTACCCTTCCTTCACAATGTTCCCAGGCAGACACCAATGCCAATACTACCCTTCCTTCACAATGTTCCCAGGCAGACACCAATGCCAATACTACCCTTCCTTCACAATGTTCCCAGACAGACGTCAATGCCAACACTGCCCTTCCTTCACAATGTTCCCAGGCAGACACCAATGCCAATAATACCCTTCCTTCACAATGTTCCCAGACAGACGTCAATGCCAATACTACCCTTCCTTCAGAATGTTCCCAGACAGACGTCAATGCCAACACAACCCTTCCTTCACAATGTTCCCAGGCAGACACCAATGCCAACACTACCCTTCCTTCTGAATGTTCCAACACAGACACTAATCTCAACAGACCCTTGAAGATCCGTTACTTGTTGTAAGAGGCGACTAAGGGGATCGGGTGGTCAGGCTCGTTGACATGGTTGATGCAAGTCATCGTATACCTATCGCTTGGGTCGATGCTCATGATGTTAATAACTGGATTGTCTGTTCCATTACTCGATTATTTTTTCTGACCTCCGTCATTTAGCTTGAATATTGGAGTGTGGAGAGTGTGGCGTTAAACAACAAACAAACAAAAAAAAACAAAAAATCCCAACTCTATACTTCCTTCAGAATGTTACCAGGCAGACACCTATCGTGACACTACCCTTCTCTGGAAACATTCAAGTATTAACACTAGCTGTTCTAGGTCGAAACGTATGCCGCAAGCATCATGCCGCTCCATTTACCGAAGGGAGGTGTTTTAAAAGATATTTGATGTTAATTTAAGTATACAATCATCACACCTTTCCGTGGTTAGAAGATTTTGTTGAATTCCATCTCTTTGCTTCACAGATGGGGGGGAGTGTGTGATGATGGCTTCTCCACCAGCGCCGCTGTTGTTGTATGTCGGCAGCTCGGCTTTACACCTCTCCGTCCGACGTTTTCCTCAGTCACGGGGCCAAACGCTCAGTTCTTACTGGACGACTTGACATGTACTGGACAGGAAGCTGCGCTACCAGACTGCGGACACAGCTCGTGGGGCACTCACAACTGCGGGGCGACAGAACACGTGCATATTGGTTGTTCTAGTGCATGTTCCGTCCATTCATGCAGGAACGGGGGGACATGTACCGACATACCACACAGCGCCACAGTCAACTGTTCCTGCCCTTCTGGGTTTACGGGACTTCACTGCGAACAAGGTGCGTTTTGTAGTGCCATGATTACCCAGTACATTATAGTCCCATTCTATTGTTAGTTGAAGGCTTATCAGGAGGGGATGTGGTGTGATATACCCGCTCTGTGGCCGTACATCGAGGCGACAGGGAAAAGCCCACCACGACAGTCGTGGTTCTCTCTGATCCAGTTCTTTGTAGATAATTGTAGGGTTTCTTCACTAAAGTACAGAAGGATACGGTTTCTACAAATCACATTTTTTAATATGGAAAGAGATACTTTTTTTTTTCCAGGTTTATATTCCTTGGTACAGAATCTACCATGAATCATAACGTCTTTAATTAATGATCACACCCTTACCCTTACCTTACCCGTGAAGATCAAGGGTAGAATAGGTCTTCAGCAACCCATGCTTGCTGTAAAAGGCGACTATGCTTGTCGTAAGACGCGACTAACGGGATCGCGTGGTCAGGGTCGCGGACTTGGTTGATGCATGTATCCCAATTACGTAGATCGATCCTCATTATTTCAATCACTGGACTATTCACAGACCACCGACATATAGTGAGGCGACCACAAACCTTTATGTTATCTCAGTATAGTGAGTGGGTGAGCCGGGTTTAACGCCACTTTTAACAGTACTCCAGTTATATCACGGCGTGTGAGGTTAATGTGGGAGGAAAGCCCGAAGTGATTCAGGTCGTAGACGTTTACCCCATCAGTGAAACCCACGAGCAGGGGTTTGGTGCTGACAAACCCAGACACATAATCAGGGCGAACCGGGATTCGAACCCACAATCATAGGAGTCTTGCGTGCCTACTCAGTATAGAGTATGGGAATAGAGAGAATGGTACGCTCATGCATTATATGAGTATATATACACATAATTATGTTAATGAAGTTAAATATATATTGTTCTATTAAAAAAACAAATTAGTTGAATATTTTGTCACTTCACCATCACAATATTACAATTCATTAATTTATTAATAATGATAACGCGGAAAATAAACCAGATCATATTAAAACAAAAGTTCAAAACAACAGACACGTCCACGGCCATCACACTTGTATTTTGAATATTCAGAATTTTAAAGTCGCATGTACATTCTGAACGAACAAATCGCTATATGGCTAAAATAATGCCGATGCGATGTAAAATTTAACTCACTCACTCACTGAACGAACCACCATGCAGCTCAGGGCGTCAACATCACGTGTTCATCTCACAACATGTTCGTGGAGTTTACCAAGAAAGAATTCCCAGGACTACATGCTGACAGCCTGACGTTACGAGACCCCACGTGTACAGCCACAGACACGCCCACTACCATCACTCTTACTGCACCACTTGGAGGATGTGGTACACAGATGGAGGTGAGTGACAGCCACAGACACGCCCACTACCATCACTCTTACTGCACCACTGGGAGGGTGTGGTACAAAGATGGAGGTGAGTGACAGCCACAGACACGCCCACTACCATCAAGCTTACTGCACCACTGGGAGGGTGTGGTACACAGATGGAGGTGAGTGACAGCCACAGACACGCCCACTACCATCACTCTCACTTCACCACTGGGAGGGTGTGGTACACAGATGGAGGTGAGTGACAGCCACAGACACGCCCACTACCATCACTCTTACTGCACCACTGGGAGGGTGTGGTACACAGATGGAGGTGAGTGACAGCTACAGACACGCCCACTACCATCACTCTCACTGCATCACTGGGAGGGTGTGGCACACAGATGGAGGTGAGTGACAGCCACAGACACGCCCACTATCATCAGTCTCACTGCACCACTGGGAGGGTGTGGCACACAGATAAAGGTGAGTGACAGCCACAGACACGCCCACTACCATCACTCTTACTGCACCACTTGGAGGGTGTGGCACACAGATGGAGGTGAGTGACAGCCACAGACACGCCCACTACCATCACTCTTACTGCACCACTTGGAGGGTGTGGCACACAGATGGAGGTGAGTGACAGCCACAGACACGCCCACTACCATCACTCTTACTGCACCACTGGGAGGGTGTGGTACACAGATGGAGGTGAGTGACAGCTACAGACACGCCCACTACCATCACTCTCACTGCATCACTGGGAGGGTGTGGCACACAGATGGAGGTGAGTGACAGCCACAGACACGCCCACTATCATCAGTCTCACTGCACCACTGGGAGGGTGTGGCACACAGATAAAGGTGAGTGACAGCCACAGACACGCCCACTACCATCACTCTTACTGCACCACTTGGAGGGTGTGGCACACAGATGGAGGTGAGTGACAGCCACAGACACGCCCACTACCATCACTCTCACTGCACCACTTGGAGGGTGTGGCACACAGATGGAGGTGAGTGACAGCCACAGACACGCCCACTACCATCACTCTCACTGCACCACTGGGAGGGTGTGGCACACAGATGGAGGTGAGTGACAGCCACAGACACGCCCACTACCATCACTCTCACTGCACCACTTGGAGGGTGTGGCACACAGATGGAGGTGAGTGACAGCCACAGACACGCCCACTACCATCACTCTCACTGCACCACTGGGAGGGTGTGGCACACAGATGGAGGTGAGTGACAGCCACAGACACGCCCACTACCATCACTCTCACTGCACCACTGGGAGGGTGTGGCACACAGATGGAGGTGAGTGACAGCCACAGACACGCCCACTACCATCACTCTCACTGCACCACTGGGAGGGTGTGGCACACAGATGGAGGTGAGTGACAGCCACAGACACGCCCGCTACCATTACTCTCACTTCATTACCAGAAGGGTGTGACACACAGAGGGGGGTGAGTGACAGCCACAGACACGCCCTATACCATCACGCTAACTTCACCACGGGGAGGGTGTGGTACACAGATGGAGGTGAGTGACAGCCACAGACACGCCCACTACATCACTCTCACTGCATCACCGGAAGGGTGTAGCAAACAGAAGGAGGTGAGTGACAGCCACAGACACTCCCGCTACCATTACTCTCACGTCATTATCAGAAGGGTGTGACACACAGAGGGAGGTGAGTGACAGCCACAGAAACGCCCGCTACCATCACTCTCACGTCATTATCAGAAGGGTGTGACACACAGATGGAGGTGAGTGACAGCCACAGACACTCCCGCTACCATCACTCTCACGTCATTATCAGAAGGGTGTGACACACAGATGGAGGTGAGTGACAGCCACAGAAACGCCCGCTACCCTCACTCTCACGTCATTTATCAGAAGGGTGTGGCACACAGATGGACGTGAGTGAAAGCCACAGACACGCCCACTATCATCACTCTCACTGCACCACTGGGAGGGTGTGGCACACAGATGGACGTGAGTGACAGCCACAGACACGCCCACTATCATCACTCTCACTGCACCACTGGGAGGGTGTGGCACACAGATGGAGGTGAGTGACAGCCACAGACACGCCCACTACCATCACTCTCACTGCACCACTGGGAGGGTGTGGCACACAGATGGAGGTGAGTGACAGCCACAGACACGCCCGCTACCATTACTCTCACTTCATTACCAGAAGGGTGTGACACACAGAGGGGGGTGAGTGACAGCCACAGACACGCCCTATACCATCACGCTAACTTCACCACGGGGAGGGTGTGGTACACAGATGGAGGTGAGTGACAGCCACAGACACGCCCACTACATCACTCTCACTGCATCACCGGAAGGGTGTAGCAAACAGAAGGAGGTGAGTGACAGCCACAGACACTCCCGCTACCATTACTCTCACGTCATTATCAGAAGGGTGTGACACACAGAGGGAGGTGAGTGACAGCCACAGAAACGCCCGCTACCATCACTCTCACGTCATTATCAGAAGGGTGTGACACACAGATGGAGGTGAGTGACAGCCACAGACACTCCCGCTACCATCACTCTCACGTCATTATCAGAAGGGTGTGACACACAGATGGAGGTGAGTGACAGCCACAGAAACGCCCGCTACCCTCACTCTCACGTCATTTATCAGAAGGGTGTGACACACAGAGGGGGGTGAGTGACAGCCACAGACACGCCCTATACCATCACGCTAACTTCACCACGGGGAGGGTGTGGCGCAGATGGAGTTGAGTGACAGCCACAGACACGCCCACTACATCACTCTCACTGCATCACCGGAAGGGTGTAGCAAACAGAAGGAGGTGAGTGACAGCCACAGACACGCCTACAACCATCACTCTCACTGCACCATGGAAGTAAGTGGCGTGCATTATTACATCAACTCGCGTTATTTCAGACGGATTGATAGTGTATATATATTGCGTGTCTTTTACTTCTGAATTTTTCGTAATTCTCTAATTATGGCGATATCGTACTAGCACTCGCATCATTTGAGTTTCCTTTTTTATAAATTTGATGTAGCTTTTCCTAATATAGGCGATTTATCTAGATACTGCCACATATCTAAAATCACACTATCATCTGTGAAGGCGGTCGGTGATGACTTCGTCTATGTCAACGTGGTATCCGCCCAGGACGTTACCGTGTCGGGTCACATCTCGCACGTGAGAGATATCAACGTGACAGTGCGTTGTTTCTACAGCAGGAACGTCGTTGCACGCAACTACTACCTCGTTAAAACCGGGGAGCTCCACGTCCTCTCAAGCAGCCAGGGCAAGTATGAGATCAGGTAGGGGTCACGAGTGGCCAAGCTGAGTTGCGAGCGCCCCATGGACACGCCAGAAACCAATGATCGTGGTTTCGAATCCCTGTTCGCCCCGATTATGTTTCTAGGTTTGTCAGCACCATACCCGTGCTCATGAGTTTCAGCAAAGTGGTAAACGTCCGAAACATGCATTACCGGGCTTTTCTCCTACATTAAGCTCTCACGTATAAATATACAAAACTCCTGAACGCGACGTTAAAGATTTAAACCCCACTTTGCCTCACCTCGCTCGGCAGCATTGTCCAACGGACAGTCAGCCCATATTACCGTAGTAAACAAGAGACAAGATAATATTGCGCTGAGGCCATGAAGCAGATGGGTTTTTTTCTAAAAAATAGCGTATTTATGGAATCACCAGTTCAACTGCCATTATTTCTCAGCGGACAGGAAACATGTTTGAAAACATGGCGGCATAAGTCAGGGATTCGTTAACATTCGTGACCAACTCGTGTCAGCCGATTGGCTTCTTGCAGGTTACGAAATCATTCGTCACCACTCGCCCCTTTCCGTAACCTGCTATTCGGCTTGTCCCGGAATAACACGAGTTGGTCACGAATGGTTACGAAATAAGGCAAGCGATGACGATAGGAAGGAAAGATAACTCTTCCGACAATTCCTGAAATTCTTGACATTCAAAGAACTATAATAAATATGATTTTATTCCTGACGAAATTTAAATGGTGATGAAACAAGACCAGGTTATTGACGCGTGGCAATAGGAGCAAACGGCCAAAGGACACAACGGCAATACTCCTATTGTGGTAGCGCTACCTGTATATAGTCACATACATAACAAAACACAAGAACTCCTCTTTATTCATCCTCACCTGTATAATTTTCATTTCGTTTTTACCAGAGGGTTTTTTCTTGATTGTTTATTCTGTATCCACTAAATGATCTTAGCCCTACGTCTATATCGTATCTCATTATACAATAAAGAGTTAAGATAGCTCTCACCTCAGGAAAACTGATCTTGAAACATACACGATATGTCCTGTTTCAGCATGGATCTGGTCCATAACGGAGTCGTGTACCAACCCTCTAGTCCCTTACCCCTTAGCGTCAAGCCGGGAGAAAGCCTGTCAATCAAACTATCCCTCCAATCCAACGACTCGAACCTGCAGGTGTTTGCCAGGAACTGTAAGGCCACGCCCACACCTTCGCCAGATAGTTCTGTGCAATATCTGATTCTTGAAAATGGGCAAGTATGGTCCTTTTTCAGTCATCAAATCGGATTCTGTAAAATATTACAGTTGAGATATTTGAAATATTATATTAGATTATTTCGTTAGCTTGGTTCAGTTTGTTTGTTTGTTTGTTTGTTATTTAACGCCGCACTCAGCAATGTTCCAGCTACATGACGGCGGTTTGTAAATAATTGAGCCGGGACCAGACAATCCAGTGATTGACATCATGAGCATCGATCCACGCAATTGGGATACGATGACATGCATCAACCAAGTCGGCGAGCCTGACCACCCGATCCCGTTTGTCGCCTCTTAGGACAAGCATAGTCGCCTTTTACGACAAGTATGGGTTGCTGAAGACCTATTCTAACCCGGATCTTCACGGGTAACTTGTCCAATCGAAATCAGCCCTATTCGAATCTACAACGTATTCAATCTATGGAAATGTAGGCGATGTACAATTAAGTATGCATGTTTGTGATACAGGTGTGCGCATGATTCAACCTTGACCTTCACAGACGTCAGTCACATGACGGAGGAGACCTTGACCTTAGAGACGTTCAAGTTCGTGAACAGTTCCAGCATGGTGTACTTCCACTGCGAGGTATTGGTGTGTAACGCGTCTGACCCCGAGTCCAGATGTCACCACGGTTGTCTGGCCCCGGGGAGGGGGAGGAGGGACGCTGGAGGGAGGAGAGAAAGCGACTTGGAGAAAGAGGTTCACTTGACTTCACAACATCTCTCAGCGGGTCCGATCCGAATTATCACCAGGAGGACAAAACGTTCACCTAAATTTGGTATGCCCATAAACGATTCTTATTTATTACCAAAAAAATAAATATTTACAGTTGAGCCCTTTTATCCGGACATTTACATGAACTAAGAGGTCGGATTAATAAATATCCGGATAAACGAGGTATGGGCACGTATTTTGACTCTGATCATATATGATATATGGAAGAGGGGATCCCAGATTAACGGGCTCCGGAAAAACGAGGTTATATTGTATAGCGAGTGAATGGTGTATCCTATACACTGGTATTTCGCGCTGGTTCGTGTCTGGTGCAAGCAAAGTACGTAGTTGTAGTAGTAGTAGCAGTAGTAGTAGTTGTAGTAGTAGTAGTTGTTGTAGTAGTAGTAATAGTTGTAAAGAAGTTGTAGTAGTAGTTGTTGTAGTAGTAGTAGTAAAAGTAGAAGTAGTAGTAATAGTAGTAGTAGTAGTAGTAATAGTAGTTGAAGTAGTAATAGTAGTAGTAGTAGTAGTAGTAGTAAAAGTAGTTTTCGTAGTAGTAGTAAAGATAGTAGTAGTAGTAGTAGTAAAAGTAGTAATGGTAATTGTAGTAGTAGTAGTAGTTGTTGTAGTAGCAGCAGCAGCAGCAGCAGCAGTAGTAGTAGTAGTAGTAGTAGTAGTAGCAGCAGCAACAGTAATAGCAGTAGCAGCAGTTTAGTTGTAGTAGTAGTAGCTGTAGATGTAGTAGCAGTAGTAGTAGTGTAGGGGTTCAATCTTGATTTTGACACTTCAATGAAAGGTCGTCAAATTACGAGTCATTACTATTTTTTATTTTCATTATCCATAGTAACACGTGAGCTCTCTTCCTTTGCTATAGTGAGGTATTTGTGATCAGATTGGGAATGTGTCGTCTACATCCTGATGAACGCCGAAGGACTATTGGCATGTTTCAAACTGGAGAGGTCGCCAGCATGTTCAGCGTGTCTCAGTCAGTGATTTGCAGACTTTGGAACAAGTTTCTGCAGACACAAGATGTCAATGATTGGCCCCGCATAAGCCCAAACAGCCAATCAAATCGCTGTTCACTTGCGCCAGGCAGTTCAAGTTACTGACCAGACGATAAGCTAATCTGCGTGTTTCATACATCCTGACCAGACGCCAATGGTGTTCAGAGAGAAGAAACTTGGGGAATAGTCAAAAAGCTCGTGTAAGGTTTTCAGATGAGTCCAGATTCTAGTCGTTTTTGAGGCGTCCCAGCGAACGTCATACGAACGTCAAAGTAAGGCAACATGAAAGATGTGAGGGTGTGTCTGTAATGAGTGAGTGAATGAGTAGGGTGTAACGCCGCTTTTAACAGTATTCCAGTTATATCGCGGCGTGTCAGCTTAATGTGGGAGAAAAGCCCGAAGTGATGCAGGTCTCAGACGTTTACCACTTCGGTGAAACCCACGAGCACGGGTATGGTGCTGACAAACCTAGAAACATAATCAGAGCGAACCGGGATTCGAACCCACAATCATAGGTTTCTGGCGTGTCTAAGGTACGCAACTCTGCACAGCGAATCGCAGCGCCTTAGACGACTGGGCCACCCGTGCCCCCGTGTCTGTAATGATATGGAGCGGGATCAGTATAATGACCAGAACACCGGTCTGTATTGTCCATAGGAGGGGCATTGGACAGGATGAGTCCTGACCATTCCCAAATAAAGCACGCTTGGGACATGACCCGGCGACGTGCATGTCAACGCCAAAGTCATCTCAAACGTTCATTTTTTCAAGCCTGTCACCCCTGTTGTCTTTCTTTGTTGTTTACGGGGGCACGGGTGGCCCAGTCGTCTGAGGCGCCGCGATTCGTTTTGCAGAGTTGCGTCCCTTGGGCACGCCAGAAACCTATGACTGTGGGTTCGAATCCCGGTTCGCCCCGCTAATGTTTCTAGGTTTGTCAGCACCATGCCCGTGCTCGTGGGTTTCTTCGAAATGGTAAACGTCGGAGACCTGCATCACCTCGGGCTTTCCTCCCACATAAAGCCGACACTCCGCCATATAACTGGAATACTGTTAAAAGCGGCGTTAAAACCCAACTCACTGACTCTCACTGTAGCCTGTTCCATAATGCCCACATGTTTCATGCATGATATCATCCACAGCTGACCGTAAGAATGGCAACACTTATTATATGGAGGAGCCAGCTATGATAGTGGGCGTGGTACTGATGTGTGCGTCACTGGTGATGGTGATGGCGACGCTGTATCTGCTGTTCCGGGGCGAGGCTGGAGACGAGAGCGATGACCAATCGGAGACTCGGTGCGATAAACAATAAAACGCCGTCAACAATGCTGTGTTGTCTTCTTTTCAAAAGCAGGTCGTCAGTGTTCTTGTACTGAAGTGATGTGGACATCACTCGTCGTGTTGTTTCATTTTCAACCTCCCGCGTCTAGTACTTAATTTTTGGACCGCCTCTGTGGCCTAGTGGTAGAGCGTCTGCCCGGCGAGCAGAAGGTCGAGGGTTAGATCCCCGACCGCGTCATACCAAAAGACGTTAAAATATGGTACTTGTTGTTACCGTGCCTGGCGCTCGGCATTAAGGGGATTAAACAAGGACTGGTCGGCTCGGAGTCAGTATACTGTGTCTGAGTGGGATATTCATGTTAAACTGCGGCATGGTATATCAGTGGGCTAGCACTATAAATCGGCATCAGTCCGGACAAGTACAAACAACCATACACACGTGCACGTCGCTACATAAGTGCGGCGTTAAACCCCATTTCTCCTCACCCAAGGTACTTTATTTTTGTTTTTCAAATAAGGGCAGGTAACTCTCATCTGCTTGCCCAAAACCGAAAGCACGAACTGCTCCGAACACAACGCCTCGAGGGTGCCAACATCTGTGCCAGTCCTGTTAAGTGGTATTCCGGATGCCGCAGTTAAGTACGCTGGATGCCATGAAATGTTTATCTCGTATTTCAATATGAAAATTCCAGTCTTCAAGTCTTACTTATAGCCAGCTATGTATCACGGTCGGAGAGCCTAGTGGTTAAAGCGTTCGCTCGTCACGACGAAGACCCGAGTTCGATTCCCCACATTGATACAATGTGTGAAACCCATTTCTGGTGTCCCCCGCCGTGGTTTTGTAAGCAAAAATATAGCTGTTGGGGAACATGGGTGGACCCTACAGCGGCGTTAAACAACATTCACTCACTGACTAAACTGACGCGCACAGCGAGGTGACGAGCCGTCAGCTTCAGGGAGAGGTGTGAGTGAATTAACGTGGTTGTACCGTAAAACTCACAAAATGTTTTTAGGTATTTGTTTCTTCAAAAAGGGAAAAGAAAGACATAAAACGAATCACTAAGTTGAGATGATGAGTAATTTAAACACCGGGGCCGCCGCAGGATTAGAAACTAACAGTTTTCGTCCACTAGTCCTTATAATGATAACATATAGCAAAACCCTTAAAAATGGCAAATTTCTTCTAGTCCTTATGATACCTTTACCATTGGGCAGTTTGGCAAGGACTATAGGACTAGTGCCAATTTCTAACGCTGCGGGGTAAGAAGTCGATACAATCTAATATGAAATTGAGAGAGAAGGCGTCGCTAATGGAAGCGCTCTTAAAATCTTTTAAAGTAAGCTACAAGCGCGTATATAAATGTGAATGGTACGTCTTTAAAATTAAAAATTGTGGATAGTCGAGTAAGCATGATGTACTAAGAAAAAACCGTTTGTTGTTATTTGATAATAACGCCGTATAGATTTGAAACTAAATTCATTCGGGGTCAAGCATTAAAGTGTAGATCTAATTGTCTTTACTTGTCATTTTTGTTTTAGAAATAAACTTTACACATATTGTGGAAGAGTCATGTAAGAATGGATATCAAGTACTTTTGCATTTTGTCTTTTCAGGACGGGTCATGAAAAATATGTACAACGACATGTCGAACCCGTTTAAATCCGGGGTAGAATATATATAGGTCTTCAGCAACCCATGCTTGCTGTAAAAGGCGACTATGCTTGTCGTAAGAGACCACTAACGGGATCGGGTGGTCAGGCTCGCTGACTTGGTGGATGCATGTCATCGTATCCCAAATGGGTGGATCGATGCTCATGATGTCAATCAGTGGATTGTCTGGTCCAGATTCGATTATTTACAGGCCGCTGTCATAAAGCTGGAATATTGCTGAGTGCGGCGTTAAACAACAAACAAACAAACAAACGACATGTGGAGCGCCATCCAAAGTATTACAAGTATTAGAGGGGAGTCATTAGTTTCCAAATCCTGACCCACTTTCCGGAATGTGCTAGGCAGAGCCTCTAAACATGTTGACATATGTTTGAGTATTGATCTTCGGGAGATTTACCGATACAGGATCAAAACATTTGTATTATATTCCACTTCACTGAGTTGACATGGCTTTTATGCACACACAACGCCTCCCGGATCCCGCCACAGCTTGTACGTCGTTTCACTAGGTAGATCAATGTTGACTAACAGATTTTAACAACACGCCACACAGTGTTGCCACGTACGCCGTTAACATGACAACAGCTGCTGAGATATTGTTTTGTTGGATCTAAATCGTTATTTTTTCGGTCACTCAACACATTTTCTTCAGGTCATCCAGCATATCAAGTGAGCCAAAATTGAGAAATATCCACCGAGACCCCGCTATTTTCGGACTAGCCGCTTTCACTTTACAAAAATATCGAAACCTGAATTTTATTCCATCTCAGTTCCCGCCCTCCTCTTTGATATACGCTCAGATATATTTGCAAAATTAAAAGAAATTCAGTCAGGTTTGTACCTAAATATGTATATTATTTCTCAAAAGCTAGCCACGTATCACGTGACCATCTGACACTGTACTTGGAATCATGACTTGATATACTAGTATATACCCTTGATGGCCTGCATATGGTTCATGATTTCATGTGAAGGTTCCGGGTTAGAATTGGTCTTCAGCAACCCTGCTTGTCGTATAAAGAGGCGACTAACGGGATCGGTGGTCAGGATCGCGGACTTGGTAGATGCATGTCATTCTATCCCAATTGCGTGGATCGATGTTCATGATGTCAATCACTAGATTGTCTGGTCCAGATTCGTTTGTTTACTGACCGCCGTCATATAACTGGAATATTTGTAAGTGCGGCGTTAAACAACAAGAATTACATGATTTCAAACCTTACCAAACAAAATAGTATATACAGTCTTTTCATATACGCTTAAATGTAGGATTTGGGTAACAAAAACACAGGGTTGTAAATTTTTTTATTAATTTAATCCTATAAATCGTTTGTTTTCCGAGATGCGTAAGATGCTGTAGTGCTGAAGCATGCAGAAGAAGAATTTTTTTGAACGTATCTATGCCACGTGTCACTTTAGATCGTCCAGTCTCTTAGGCAGTACGCTGACGTGGCGATAGAACAGGACACAAAAGATTTTACCGCTGAGTCAACTGTCACAATTAACATCACTCAATATATTCAGTTATGTGTCAGTACAGCGATCAGTATATCGGCATAGATGTCAATCTGAATACCCCGACCATAACAGACCTAAGTTTATTGCAGCCTGGGGCGGGGGTATACAAGACACTCCCTGTTCAGGTGCCCCGGGCCCCAGGGTTTGATGATTACACGTGACGACAGAGTTACACGCAGATTTAACGAGCTACTGTAGATTGACACGTAGTGATACCATACGTTGAAATTGATTTCTTTACGTTACGTCATAGTCAAATGTAGGCTATAGACTTCGTATGCTGATTAATCATTTTTGTCTGGCCATTTCATATGAATATGTACTAATATTCACAGTGGCCATGGACTTAGTGTTACAGTACACTGTACGTATATGTAACAAAGTCACACACAGCTCCAGATAACGTTCTGAGCAATTGAGTTTTTACTCGATGGTTTCTATTTTAATTGGGTTATTACATTTTTCATTTGGTAACCAATATTTTTTTCACTCATCTCTTTATCACTCTATTGGGTTTTTCCCAAAATGAGTAAACATTTTGATATTTAAAAAAAATGAAATAATGTTTTAGAAGTATATAATGGTTCTATATACAGGCTTGACTCGGAAAGTAAATTAGCTCGTAATTGTGTTTCGGAAATTAGCTCCGTCGTACGCATGCTGAAAAAACTTCGTTGGGTATTTAAGCGTGCTGTTTTCAAACAATTGAGTTTTTCATTTAATGCATGCGTTTCTGTATGCAAGTTAATTGAAAGTAATTGGGTTTTGAATAGCTGTTGTTTTGGTGTTGTTGTTTGGGGGTTTTTTTTGGGGGGAGGGGTATTTTACGCAAATACACAGTTTATCTGCAGCTCTGGTCACAGTTTATTAAATCAAAGGATGTGGGATAAGGGCCCTTTTTGGTCTACTGGAAATGTCAAATTACATAAATGTCGAAAATCTGTAAATATCGGTATGGAACTTAGCGGTCAGGTTCAAATGGTAGCTACGGTACCTCTATGCTGCTCCCGATATTGATGGGGACTGTTGTCACAGTTTGTGTAGAAGGGTCATTTAAAGAGGAATATATGTGCGTGTATTGACAACTCAGTGAATTTTGCAGATTATAAATTCCTCTGTTAATGCGCTTTCAACTGATCAAGTTAGACTAACGCTTGGTCTCTAAAAATAGCCTCATTGAAAAGTAGCCTCTGTGAGATGTAAGATTTAGAACCTGAGAAAAATCTAGACTTGCTCATTTAGAGCTGTAGCATTCCAGTAAGGGCTGGACCATTTTTCAGGTAATATGGTTCTGGGACTGTGAGTTAGACTACTGCGCAAGTATGCATAGTGTGTTTCAACAGATGTACTTACCTTGGTCTGTCTTTCATTGCGTCCAGAGGAGGATGTACTTAATGTGTTAATTGCTCTTCAATTGCCCATTCCGGATCTTTTCATCATTTCTTTTGCTTATTTTAACTGTTCTAAATCTTGGTTATTATCACTAGATTAGAGGGAATAGCTTGCTGATCTATGGAATGTTAGATGTCAATTCAATGGTAATAAACTTCGTACAGACCACTTAGCTGCTGATACTAATGTCAGTGTACTATCATATAGGTTGCAGCGTAACACTTTCAGTACATTCCCGAACGGTACTTTGCCATTAGATATAGAATTAGGTAGGATTGCGTGTCATGTAGTCCCACTATAGGTCCGTATTTGTATTTTTTTAATAACACTGAAGAAGAAGTTAATTTCTTTAGATGTTTTAGTTATTATTGTTTGTTTGTTGTTTAATGCCGCACACAGCAATATTCCAGCTATATGACGGCTGTCTGTATATAATCGAGTATGGAGTCAATCCACTGATTGAC